TGACACGTTCGATCACCGTTCTCAGGATCTGTAATTAACATTCTTAACAGCTCGTTCTTTTAGTGTAGGTCGATCAGGTGGACCGACTCAATTCAGTAGCGGTCACTGTTTCTGTGATTTGCCTTCTACTTCCTACGCTACTGGACAAGGAAGTATTGTAATCGCGAAAAATTTCGAAAAAGTTACTCGCAAAACCGATCAAATCACAAGATGCTTCACATCTGAATCTGCGGATCGCTGATGTCCAACTTATACACGATTTCGAATAGGGCCTGTATGAAACTGTCCAATAAAATAAAAAGCAAATACCGAAATATCGGAATCCTTCGTCTTGCACGTAGTTCTTGAAAAATCAACCCATCGGAGTTTCTTAAGTGCTTTTTAAAAGGAGAATCTGTGGTATCGAATCTCCAAAAGGGAAGAATTTGGTCCAGTACGAGTCTTTTAAGTTTTGCATATGGAAATAAAGCAACACGGTAGGTAGTTTTAAATGACTTTATTGTTTTTCGAAGTATTCTCCACGAAGATTAATACACATCTGCATGCGCTAATGACTTGGTGACACTTGAAAATTCACTGTAGTGACAACACTGCACTTATTGTTGTGAAACTTTGAATTTAAGTTTACTAAAGAGTAAGGTTAAGACTCAGTACTGACTTTCTATGTTTCTATACGCAAAACTTAAAAGACATCCCTCGTATTATTGAATGACATGGTAACCTGTTTGAGGAGGGTCAAAGTATATTAAAGAGGAACACACAAGCAAAACGAGTAACTAGGCAATACCGTGTTTTCCTAAGAACATTCTCGACATGAAGTTTGGCTCCTTAAATCTTTGTCAAGCTATCATTCTCTCTTCTGGTTTTGTTTCGATTTCACCTTCCGATACCACTTTTCGAGGCAGCAGTTTCTTTTAATCCACGAATTGTGCTTGAAGTCAACATCCTACTAATTCAATCGTTCTGTGGCAGCGAATCCAAAAAAAAAACCCATTATCATTTCGCACGGAATCCGACTACCGCTACGACCAAACAGTGTCGGACCACATAGCGCTAAGACGAAGTTGAGAAGAATTTTCTGATGAATCGTAAAATGCATAACTGTTGCTTAATATTGTAAGGTAAATATGTCACACTTCTGCAGTTATCTCTCTAATAATAGTCAATCGGTTTTTGTCTCTAACCCAGCGTTTTTCAACATAAGACTCACGTTTGCGTAAAGGGGCAGCGTGTCACAGCAGATCGGACGCTTTCGTGATATCAAAAGCAACGACATGAGCCTCACCATTAGACTGTATGAGTTTATTCCACAGTTGCGGGACGTAATCTAGGAGGTCGCCTGTGGATCGCTGGTGCCGAAAACCATACCTGTCGCTAATCAAGCTGTGCTGTATGCCTGCAGTTTCTTAGATCCTTTTTTTTGGATGGGTTGGACATCAGGAAATTTCCAGTTTTCTGGGAAGGTGTTGGACTCGTGAGATATGTCGTCAATACAAAGGATACTCTAATAGTTTTGCAATATAGCTTTATTTATTGCACTGGTCTATGCTTAAACCACGCGTATCTTGTTCGCGATCACGATGCCATAGTCCGTACAATGCACTGTCAATACGAATGAACAACTACATCCAAAGACGTGCTACTGTCGTCTACTATGCACTCATGGACACGTCTCAACATGCAGCCTCCTGCGTCGTTTGTTAAGTCGCATTGCAAAACTTTTATAGTATCCTTTGTACAACAGAAGCCAGGGCCATAGTCATATAAGGTCTGTTTGATCTCAAATTTCATCATGATCGGTGGAATAGTTTTCTACATTATGATGAAAGAAATAGTCTATATTTAGCTGTACGTGGGAAGTAAATTTCCCTACGCTACTGTCAGTGTACTCGATGTCCGAGGTGAATGTTCTTTTTAGGAAATGAGTAAACGAATTAAAAGTGAAATCATTAATGGGTACTCCAATCGAACATCGAATCCGTGTCTACCGCAATTTTTAATGATTCGATAGATTACTGTATCAAGATATCTAAGGTCACTGCCCTGGTTGTTAAATATTTTTTTATGCCAGAACGCAAGTTATCGTTAACAGTAAAACCATATCCGATTTTCCTCATCACAGTGATAGGAAGATCGCTTGTTAAGATGAACCTCAGTATATTGCTAACCATAGGTTATTTCCTACATAAAATTCATAATCGCTACAATTTTTTTGAATAGCAGCCTCAAGAATAATTCATAATCATCTATTATTAAATCATTAGTCAGGTTTGAAAATTTGGAAATTATTAAACAACCTTAAAATTTGGATAGAAATTTTGGATTTGAAAAATGGGCAAAAAATTATCAAAAAATGAATCTGAAATGTTGTAAAAAAGATTGGGTTTAGAAATTGTGAATTTTGAACAAAATGAATTTTTAATTTGGAAAAAAGTTCGTATTTGAAAATTTTGTAAAAGCATGTCCAAAATTACCGCACTCCTAGTCGGTGTTGCGTTTGTCATTTAGTATACAGGGTGTTCATTAATGATATGCGAATATTTAAGAGTGTGAATCTATATGAAAAATTAATGTTAGTTTGCTTTATAAAATATGGTCCAAAAATATTTCCTTACAATAACTCGAGGTGTCGAAGTTTTAGGAAACAAATGGAAATTAATTAATATTTTCAGAACCGCCTCAGATATTTCACTGATATCAATGATCAACAGCCAAAAAATATCCTAAATAAAATCAACAAAATATTACTATTTTTAATGTGCTAAAACCGGAATAAAACTTATTTTTCAATATTAGTTCAAGTTTTAGAGCTACGGTAATTATATGTGTTCCTGCTGTGACAGTGTTAATATACTGTAATTCACAAGAATGCACGTGCTACATTTTATATTCGGCAAGGAAAGATGATGTAATCGGCATGATTGTGTTACGTTATACATACGTGTACATTATATTGTTTTATATGAGCCATTTTTTCCTCAGTTAGCTGACAGCGTTCATGCAAGATGTCTCGAAAGTGTGTAAACAATCCAGATCAGTTTTGTTACGTGTGTGGTGATGTGACTTTTCCGTCTCAGAGACGGTCTATTACTCCACTAATAACAAGGGCATATCAGCTTTATTTCGGTTGTAAACTAGGTGATCAAGACAAACAATGGGCATCCCACATCTGCTGTAATATATGTGCTTCAAGTCTGGGGAGCTGGTTAAATGACAAAAAACGGTCTATGCGCTTTGTTGTCCCAATGGTTTGGAGAGAGCCTACAAATCATATTAATGATTGTTACTTTTGCATGGTACCTTGTGTTGGACAAGCCACAGGTATGTCCAAGAAAAAAAAATCGGTTATTAACTACCCAAACATACCATCTGCGATGAGAACTGTGCCTCACAGTGACGAAAAGCCTATTCCAAAACCCCCAGAATCCTACACTTGCGAATCAGAAAACGAATCAGATCATGGCGATCGAGTGATTCGTCAGGAAGAAGATATGCCATCAACGTCAAGAGATCCTGATTTTATACCGAGCACGTCATGCAACCAACCGCACAAAATAACACAGTCAGAATTAAATGATCTTGTAAGAGATTTAGAACTTCCAAAACGTAAGGCAGAGTTACCTGGATCAAGACTGCAGCAGCGGAACTTGTTAGAAGACGAGATTTCGGTATGTGTTTTTCGTAAACGCCACAAAGACTTCAATATGGAGAATAACTTGGTTTTCAACATTAACGGCTTACTGGCGGTTTTAAATATAAACTATAACCCAGAAGAATGGAGATTGTTTATAGACAGTTCAACATTAAGTTTAAAGGCAGTGTTATTGCATATTGAAAATATTTTACCATCTCTTCCTGTAGGGTATGCAGTTCACATGAAAGAATCATAAGACAATATGAAGTACCTATTGACATGCATAAAATACGATGAGCACCAATGGCATATTTGTGGCGATTTGAAAGTTGTTGCACTTTTACTTGGGCTGCAGCTAGGCTACACAAAGTTTTGCTGTTTTTTGTGTGAATGGGACAGTCGGGCAAAGGCACTTCATTACACCAGATAAAACTGGCCTGTTCGTCAATTCCTAGAGCCAGGTCAAAAAGATGTACAGCATATGCCATTAGTAGATTCGAAAAAAATTTATTACCACCACTGCATATCAAGTTGGGCCTAATGAAAAACTTTGTCAAGGCATTAGATAGAGATGGGTCAGCTTTTCAATACCTGCGTCAGAAATTTCCAAGACTAAGTGAGGCAAAGATTAAAGAAGGTATTTTTGTTGAGTCACAGATTCGAAATATTTTGAAAGATACACAGTTTGAAAACACTTTAACTGGTATTGAAAAAACTGCTTGGAATGATTTCCGTCTGGTGGTCACTAATTTCTTGGGAAATAGAAAAGCTGACAACTATAAAAGCCTTGTCAAAAATATGCTGTCATCGTATCAAAAGATGGGCTGTAATATGTCTCTTAAGATACATTTCCTACACTCACACCTGGACTTTTTTCCTGACAATTGCGGAGCCGTAAGTGATGAGCACGGCGAACGTTTTCATCAGGATATTTTAACAATGGAAAAAAGGTACCAGGGAAAGTGGAATCCTTCCATGCTTGCAGACTACTGTTGGACTCTTGGTAGAGATGCTCCAGAAACGATCCATAAAAGAACAGCAAAAAGTCAGCGCATATAGTGATTCTTATAAGTACATGAATCTTGTTACTTTTTTTAACCCTCTATTGCATGAATTTTGTTTTTTTTTTGCTAAGATTTTTTTATTTCATGTTTTATGTATGTGAATGGTCATAGAAATAAGGCACAAACATTATTTTCAAAAAATTTATTCAGAACATAAAAAAAAATTTGTGTTCCCAATTGGGAACATTATGCGTTTAAGGATACATACATATATTTCCAAAAGAGACAAAACCTTTCAATTACAATGGAATTCCTTAAAACAATTGTTGGTAGAATTGAAGCATAAGTGTACAGAAAATTTGTCACATTTCACTCTGGATTTTCCTTTGCATAGAGGCTTTTTGCATCGTTCCCGATTCACTGTGTCCGAAATTATCAAATTTCATTGCATCGGTAGGTCTGTTTTCCAGACATCTTCTTTTTAGGGGAATAGGTACGGGAGAGTTACGCGGAGAATTGACACTTGGTCGACCCCTTTTTCTTTGTGCGGTTTTTCCAACCCAACATAAATCTTGAGCTAAGGTTGTTTTGAACTCTAAAAGAGATACATTTTCATTTCTATTTAGTTGCCTGTTAATTCGTCTGGATAGTAGCCAGGCATTGACAATAACAGTATCAATCATGTGAAAAAAAATTCGTAAGTACCATTTTTTGCTTTTTAGTTTTATGGGATACAATCCCAGAAGAGAATCTTGCAAGTCGACGCCACCCATATGCATGTTATACACTGCTACTACGTCTGGGAGTTCTATCTCCTTCTTGCAATTTTCCGATTTGAAAAATCGTCGTACTTTAGTAATTGGCTCCGTTCCAGAAAATGTGGAAATCAGGGAGACTATTCTATTGTCATACCACTGTACAGCATGGATAGACACACCGTCAACAGTGGCAGTTTTTTCAATATAGGCACCGCGACCTCTTTTTTTCATGTCCTTTTCTGACATAATATCTAGTCCTTTTAGGCGATTTGACCTAACTGTTGCAACACTTTGTATTCCTAGCTTTTGTAAATAAGCCAGTATTTATTTATTTATTTATTTCCAACAGGTGAAACCCAATTACAGGAAACGCTGAAAAAAATAGCAATTAAAGAGACATGGTTCTTGGACTTAAATCTATAGTATCACACATTCTAAATAAGATTGGATGATCTATAACAGTTAATAATCGTTGCACAACTGTCACTGTAAATATCACACGATTCAGTAACACTGTTCATGACGCAGCACATGAAATTAATTGGCGATTTTGTCATAACATTTGTACGGCCAGCTTGACAATAGAATGCCATTTGTTGTCGACTCCCTAGCCTTGAAACGCGGAAACATATTTTTTCAAGTAAATTTTGACAGTCAATTTTGTTGTGAATGAGGCCATACAAAAACGACAAAGCAAATATGTTTCGTCTTGTTGACAGTGAATCCAAATTGAAAGACTCTAATAGGGCACTATGGTCACAACCTCTTTCTGGATAAGAACCTGTGCATTTAAGGTGAAAATACTTTAAAGCTTTACGTTGAATGGCCTCAAGGATCACGACAGAATTTTGGTATATAGGAGACCAGATCAGAGTTGCATACTCCAACTTGCTCCTTACAAAAGTAAAAAATAAAGTTATTAATGTATCAACATTGGAGAAACCCTTCCAGTTTCTGATACAGAAACCAAGTAGTCGAGTGGCAGCCGACGAGATATTGAGTATGTGCTCAGTAAACGTTAGCTTGGTATCAAATATGACTCCAAGGTCTCTATAAGAGGTGCATCTGTCTATAACCTGACCATTGATGTTATAATTATCATAAATTAAATAGTTCACTTTTCTTGTATAAGTCATAACTTTACATTTCGAAACATTCAGACTGAGACAGTTTCGTGAACACCATGACGAAATTAGAGCTAAGTCATCTTGCAACATGACGCAATCCTCGACTGTCTTGACTGACGTGCAGATTTTGAGGTCATCAGCGAAAAATAAATGGAAACACTTCAGTTCAAAAGACAAGTCATTAATAAATATTAAAAACAATAATGGACCTAGATTTGACCCTTGAGGTACCCCAGACGTGGCCCGATAGTAACTCGACCTATGACCACCATATTCGACAAATAACCTTCTATCCCTCAAATATGAATTCATGAGCGACAGCATTGCATCAGACATACCCACTGTTTTAAGCTTATCCAGAAGTGCATAATGATCAACTTGATCAAAAGCCTTCTGAATATCTGTGTAGATGACATCAACTTGTCCCTGACCGTCCAGTACTTCAGAAATGTATTGAGTAATTAGAGCCAAGTTGGTGACCGCAGATCTGCCTCTCATAAACCCATGCTGATTAATAGAGACTGCACCCCTGACCGAGCAGTAAACCGTTTCATAAGCGATGATCTCAAACAACTTGCTGAAATTGCACAGGATTGCTATTTGGCGATAGTTGGAAATATCAGAGATATCTCCATTTTTGTGAATAGGACATATTTTAGAGGTCTTCCAGATATTTGGATATGTCTCTGATTTTAGAATTAGGTTGAATATGGAAGCCAGCGGTTTCGCTAGTATATGAATGCAATCTTTAACGAAAAAACTTGGAATACCATCACATCCAGACGTCATTTTGTTCTTTAATCTTTTCGAAGCCCTAATTACGTTTTCTTCACTTATATTTTTTAAAGAAATGATATCGGTAGAATTATTTGTTGGAGGAGGTGACCCTAGTACACCAGACGGGATAGAAACTGTTGAAAAGAAGGTAGCAAAACTGTCCACTATATCCTGAGGCGTATCGCAGACATTGCCGTTAAGTGTCATCCTGGGGGGGATTCTAGATTGCTGTTTTTTGATCTGGGCAAATGACCAGAATTTGCTGGGATCATTGACAATGGCATCCTCAGCCGATTGGACGTAAGCGGAGTAGGCAACACTGATCTGGTTCTTAATGAGCTTCCTAAAATTACTGAACTGATCATAAGAAAACTTAGTACCGTCACGTTTCCAGTTCCTTCTTGCTATGTCCTTCTTCTTGATATTAATATATCCTTAAAAATGAAAAGTTTCTTTTCTAAACCGCAACTAATTTTTTTATTTCATTGTCATTTTTGGATCCCAAAATTAACAAAGAAGTGCACTTTTCCCACAAGATACAATTAAAAAACTAAAATTTGTTGTCCAGTGATATTTAGTACGTAGTGAAAGTTTATAAAGTTGCATATTTTTTAATACAAAAATAATTTTTGGAGTTAACAGTGGCTTGCGTACGGGTATTGACTTCGATATTTTTTAAGAAAAAAATGGTACGCTAATGGTTTTTTGCCAAAAAAAAATTCCCCGTTGAATTTAAAACAAATGATCTCGCTTGAATTGTTTTACTTCTATGCGCCATTTTTGAGTAAAAAAAAAAATAAAAACCGTTCTATCTGAAGCGCTTCTGAATATTGATTAATTGCCATTTTTTCCTAAAACATCAACACCCCGAGTTTTTGTGAGAAAACATTTTTCAACCATAGTTCATAACATTAATTTTTCATGTAGATTCAGACCCTTAAATATTCGCATATCGTTAAGGAACACCCATGAAATCACTTCTAAGTTATCCCTTCATATTTGCCGATGTTAACGAAATGTACTAATTACTAGATTCAATTTCCAAGTCACGGCACGCTAATATTCATAAATAAGGTACTAGAATGTGACTGTTGTGCGAAATTCAACACATTCAAAATCGAATATAATGATTGCAGACTGTATAAAGCCGGTACAAGGTTATTCTAAATTTGTCTGTTAGCGGAGGTCAAATAAATTTTTAAATTATGTTTTGTATTTGAAAAATAGACATGCCGCAGGCATAGTATTATCATTATAAATCATTTTCGTGTATAATAACTTAAAGGTATGTCCAGTAAGTGGTATTAGGTGTATTTTCAATGCGTTCTTTCCATCGTGGCGAGAATATTTTGATGCTGTTAAGGAATCGTAATTTAGGTATATTTAAGTAGACGTAATTAGGGTAAGCTGGATGTAGATGGCGTTAGTTAGGTTATAGACAGCTTACCTTTCTATCAAATCTATATTTTCCAATCTACTTTTTGACCAACAAATTAATTTCGGAAATTATTTCAAGGGAAATTGGCTACATTCTATATCTACGACTGGAATTCATACATTCATGAATACGAAACATCAAGTAAATGTATAATCCAATGTGACTAACTCTTGCCCTTTTTTATAATTTGTATTCTACAGTTATAGCTTGAAATTATCGGTCCATGCAAATTATGAATATGCAAACAACGAACGACTTTTTAAAAAAGCGACTTTACTATATAGTACTTGCACATTCTTTTACAAGTATCTCCTATCTATAACCTATGCTCGAACAAGTGAAATGAAAATGGCTAACCTAAGCATCTATACATAAGAGATCATCATTATAGTAGTGCCGAAATTCCTCCCTCTTCAAGAAGATTGAACCTCCTGGTTCAACAGAAAAATTTCATCAAGTTCAATGTCATTTTTGACTGATTTTTGGGTTCTTTCTTCTTCAAAAGAGAGAGCAATTGCTTTTTCAAACATTGAAGAAATACAGTAAATGTCAAGGTACATAAAATAGATACAAAAGTTTTTTATTTTATCATGCAATAAAACATCAATTGGATGTCTGACTAACTCCCTCAGTATTTTCAAACAATATATTCTTATCAAGGTTCACTTCCATGTTAGGTACATACAAAGGTTTCGAAATATCAGAGGTCTTCAAATACTCATTATGATCGATACATTTTAAACTGATAATAAAAGAGGAATCGATTTCTTTTCTTTCTTTGGTACAATCTTCATATACTGGAATATTCTTGTTAGGGCTTAGTATAGTACAGTAAAGATAGTTATTACTCCATAATTTGCATTCATCACAAACATGTATAGTTTCATTCTCGATAATATTTTTATGCTTTAATACCAGTATATTATTTTGGTGTATAATAGGATAGATACTGAAATATATATAAAGTTTCCAGTAACTATTGGTATGTGAAGAACAAATACGTTTTTTTCTTCGAAAACACTCAGTTCACATAATTCGAAAAATCCAAAATTATTGCATTTGATCAAGTGGAAGAAGCTCACTTTTGTCCATGTTAATAATGGATGGACATAATTACTTTCAAATCTGCTCAGCTGTAAGAGATTTATGCCCTGATTTGTACTCAGGTCTATGGTTAACAATAACTCGGACAGATAATTAGTGAATCTTGGAATAATTATTATTTCATTTAAAACATACTGACAATTAGCGTAGTCTTTATGCAGTTTGTTGAGGTTATCCAAAATATCTCTTAAATTTTTCTTGATAAACAAAGTGTTATTTTCAAACCTACCTTCTGATTCTTTTGCTACACAGACGGTTCGAGAATTTTGTAACAATAAACTATCTTGATTTTCTTTGAGAATCAGCATATTTTCCATTATTTTGTTTAGATCAAGTTGTGTCGTTAATGTATCATCAATCTTCGATTTTTCAAAATAAATATTGGACGTTATTTGCTTGATATTTTCATTAATAAGGGTATAAGATTTATATGACAATGTTTTCATTTTATATTTACTCATGTTGTTTTCTTTGTACATTGAGTGAATTATAATTATTATTATGGTAGCTTGATATTAATCAATAGCCTTGTAGATGAAGCTTATCCGATCGATCAAAGATCCCATCAAATTGAAAATCTTGATGGTATCAAATATCACGTTCTGAGCTACATACACCTGTAGAATTATATTTCTTGTAATAATTAATGAAAAAGAGTTTTCTAAAATTTAACATTAGCAGTAATTGATGCTTGCATTGCACATGTGTTTTCGATTATTATTATTTATTCGGTGAAATTGGCCAAGTGGTGCATTAAACTGAAATTGAGTCTGTTACTCATCGGACTTCCCGTTGATTAC